GATCCCAGTGACTGGGACAGTGATCCAATGACTGGGACCCAGTGATCTCCTATCACCAGCAGTCAGCTCTGTACTGAGTCTGCAGCTTTGCTGTCCTATTTCTCTTGTCTTTGGAATATGTGATATCACAATTTCCATACAAGAAATATAATTAAAATAACAGCAGAGCTATTGTCTTGTAGCTAGATTTCTTGTATCCAAACCTCGGCTTATGTGTGAATTCCAAAAAAAAAAAAAAACAAGAGCCTCCTATAAGAACAGCTCAAAATGCTCAACTTTAGTCATTTTCTAATCATGAAAATAACTCTAATTGCTTGAAACGATGGCCTACATCCAAGGCACCTGATTTCAGCAGCAGGAATGCAGCCAATTATTTTAAGTTCTAATAAGCAGTTATGTTAATGAACAAGAAAGCTATGATAAAAACAGTTTTTGGCTGTTTTAATGTTACAGTTAGGGAAATCCTTATCATTGAAAGCTACCTGAGAAGTGTACTAATATTCACAATTTCATTGTCATTAGCACCCTAATTAGATAGGCAAAAAAATAAAAGTGCTCATTGTAGCTTCCATGCACAAAGGTCCTGCAGGACCTTTTGCTAATAGAAACCTTGCTCTGGATGACCTCTTATTTTCCGTCCATCTACATAACCATCATTGTCCCAGTGGCAGAGCAGCTAAGGCACATACAGATGTAAAAAATCTTCAGGAGCACACTGGCATCTGCATTCCTTATGTCAAAAGCGACTGAATCTTTTCAGCCCATGTGTTTTAGCCTTGCTTCTCTTGCATATGCATACTTCCATGTGACGACAGGAGCAGCATATGTAGAAGTTTTTCAGAATGAGATCAGTCTGGGTGAACTGTGCTTTGAGAAGGAAAAAGACTTTTCCTTTTCTGAAGCACCAATGGATCTGCCATATCAGTAATAGAGGGGGGCTAACTTTAAGCTTAAATATTCAGAAATGTTACAGCTGTAGTAACTGTGGAGCAGGGACAATGGCAGCTGGGATTGGAAAAAGATGACAACATAGGGAAAAAAGAAGAAATGGTAAAGACCAGAGCATCCTGGATGTTCTTGGTGACGTTAATAGGAAGGGAAGGGTTAGGTCACCAGTAAATCTAAACTTGCTCATCAGTTCAAATTCAGCCTTGCTGAATTTTGAAGGAGGCCAAATTTATCAATAGTGGAGGATTTTCACATTCTGTAGTAATAGTTGTTATTTTACATTTCATAAGTAAACCAAAATTTATGATATTGGATCATATCATGCGTAGGACAAACATACTTGGAAGGTATCATTTCTACAGTAAGCCTACAAATCATATGGGGTTTAATGATTTATTCCATTGCATGCCTTTTCAATTATGTTCTGATTTTGTGTTTCATTTGCTAAGGAACTACAACCAAGTTATTCAAAAGTCTAGATTTATGCCTCTTTTTTTAATAAGCCATTCCAGATGAAATTTAAAAGCAAAACATAACAACAACAAACTGATCTTATTTGGGTTGCATCCTCTCAATTTTTGTCCATGGAAAAACAAGAAAATTGTGACTGTGTAGCTGCTATAGGAACAAATAATGTCATTCCCTGGCCCAAGTTAACCTTGACAGGAATTTGAATTTAAATTGTGATTGAGTGCACTGATTACTAAAACACTACTTATTTCTCAGTGGTGTGTGACTCTCTTTCTGGTTTCAACCTGAACCAATCCAAAATGCACCAAAACTGGTACATACACTGCCATGAAGAGTTTCTTTTTGAATGCATTCACATTTTCTAGGAAAGTCTTTTTCCTGTAGATTTTATTCTTGATATGTATTGCCTTTAAAATCAGTTGTTATTTGAGAAAGTAGGGGTGGCCAGGATATAAAGACCATTTTGAAATAACACTATTTCAGGAAGTGCAAAAATAAGTGTGAAATCCTATTTCGACCTTGTTCAGTGACTTTTCTGTTATTAAATCTGATACTGTATTTTAAAACCTCCCGAAGTTTGGTATGTGTGGAAGACATGCAATATTTTTAAAATCAGCATTCCAGTGCACAGAGCCATATTCAAAGTACTTGAGCTCACTTACTGTAACTACAGCAGCTGTTTTAAAATTTTCCTTAATTAGTAGAAAATTCAGTGAATTTTGAGAGAATATCACTTTGCATAAATTTATAATGTTACTGGAAGTGGTAAATATTTTTCATACAAAATGAACACAGTCATTTCACATCATTTCTCCAAGAAAAATCTCATACTCTTGACAACCCTTCCCCCCCAAAATAAAAAATCCTTTTGCTTTTTTCTTCCTCAGAACAGATATATCTCCATGAATTTTCACTTTGTGGTACATGTATATGTGTTTATGTGTGTGTGAGAGAGAGAAAAATAGAATTTCTGCCTCTGAGATGAGACCATGAAGGATAAGAGACTTTCAAACATGCTTGCAGCATATAAAGACTGTTCATCTTTGTATAACTGAGCTAGCATAGCAAATAATAATTGCTAATGGTAGTACAGATGACATATGAAGCTGCATAGCACTAATTAGGAACCAGAATATTAAACTACCAAAAATTAACACTTTTCAATTTCTATCAGCACTTTTATGATACTAATTTAACTGAAATGAAGCTGCTGAATAGTCCTTTGTGAGTAGTTAAGTGCTTTCCATTCTTGCCAGTTCTCCACTGGGGAGGCCTGATGGGGTCTGGGATGTGACAGAGGATGCTCTTTCCAGTGTGGATTGGCTCCTGCACACAACACTTCCCACACGGGCTGAAGGATGCCTGTGACATGTCAGAGTACTTACTGAGAAGGTGTTTCTTATGCATCTGTACACACAGTATGTTTTCTAGGGAAACCAGAAATGTTAGTGAAATAAACTGTGATTATATTTTAACAAGGAAAAGATTTTATTGACAGCAAAAGGTGTTTCATGCTTTGCTATCCTCCACTCCTCCAGTATCTATTACTGCTACCCCAAAGAAGTAACTTCATCAAGAGAATCAGATGTCAAATGGCCTGGGTGCCTGCCAACAACCCCCATAAATTCAGGGACATCATCTAACAATGTGTAAACCAGATTTAACAATTCACGCTATAGAAGTGGTAGTTATTTAACTAAAATACATATTCTTCCTTTTTTTTTCCAATTTGCTTCTTTGTCCATTTTATTCTTGGCCTACACAAAATTTCCTATGAGGAAATGTATGGCATGATAGCCAACTATTAAGAAATATTGTTACTATATAGAGAACTTTTTCAATTTTGCACATAATCCTTTCTAAAGTTGTGCCATAACTCAGTCCATGGAATTAAGATGAAGATTGCTAAAATAGGATGAATAAAAAGAAAACCTTACACAATAACACTGTTTTTTCCATGTGTTCTTTTCTAAAAACAAACAAAAAAAAAAGTGACTAACATATTCTTTATCTGAATTCCAGCAAAGGGATCTTGTTCTGCTTTTGTGGTTTATGAATTCAATATGGAATTTACAAAACTGGAAATGAAGATATTGATGAAGGTCTAAAAACTCTTTCAATCCAATGCAGTAGTACAAACTGACATGTTTTAGGATGGTGTTTTAGTATTGTTTTATGAAAGCAAAAAGCAAAAGAAAATTAAATTCACAATATGTCAATGTACTGCTGTCAATCATGAGTGTCGTAAAGCACCACTGCATGGCAAAATATTAATAATGTCATTAGTTCAAGTAAAGTAATGCCTGAGTTGATGTATGTGACATCTACAGCCTTACTGGCTTGCAGATTTTAGGGTCTCAGAGTCTAAAAACATGCAAACTGTTTATTGGGGAAAAGTCAATATTGGATTGACCTTACCCTTGCAAACAGTCTTCTTTTTCTAAGTCTACTTGCGATGTTTTGTTACTAGTGCTACACTAGTCCTTATCCTGTAGGAATAACAAGTTAATTGGCTGATATGGACAGCTTTATCCTGAATGTGGGAATGCATTCAGCTGCCAAAGAAAATAGGGCTTTTATCCTCTTCTTCTCGACGAACTGCTTAAGAACCTTCTTCAAATATTTTTCTCCTTTTGCTTAACACACAAATTTTTATTTCACCATTTCAAAATGGTTAACTTCTTAATGCATTCTAGAAAAATATCTGAATTAAGTAAATAATTCTGTACCAGTATGTAGGTACTCTGTCACTACATATTGTAGCGATTCAGATTTCCTTAAATTATAGAGCTGAACTGTGCTCAAAACTCTGTTGCTGAAACTGTTCAGCTCACTGTTGAACTGACTTTTTTCACAGTAACAACTGCATCTATACAAGTTGAAAAGAACAGTCTTAAAAAGATTCCAATGTAAAAGAAAAGCAAACCAGGCAAATAAAGAAAGACTTTTGCATAAGTTATTCAGGGGAAGTTATACCTAATGTGAATATTTTTTTACTGTATTACAAACAATTACATACCCGTTGTATGTAATTACAGTTGCATGTATCTTAACCTACTTCTGGGAAAAGATTGATTACCAAAATGCATCTTCATCATCTCAGTCAGTTCACCTGTGTACTATTACTGTGGAGTATAATGAAGTTAAATTTACCAAAACATTCAGCCTTCAAAATAAGAAGTAATTTTATAGAGGTGGATATATAACATATATCCCTCACTAGCTATGTAAATCACATGTGGTCTGATCCTCAGTCCAAAGTCCAAAATTATCCAGTCACTGGATAATTTTGCTTTGCTATTGCTTCTGTAGGATTCAACCTTTCAGCATCCCATACGTAGTAGCTGATTTTAGCAGATAATTAATGTTATTCGGGTTAGATTTGGATGCTTCACCAGAAGCTCTGTGGGATGTGTTTCTTCTGTAGATGTGTGGCCATGCTGGGGAGCAGGATCCCAGCATAGCTTCGGGATCTTCTGGTGATAAAGATGGATCACTAGACACACACAGTGGTCATAAGTTTCTTGATGTTTCCATGTTGGTTACCAGTAAAAGGCATTTTTCTTATTTGTCTTTTCCAGGAATTTGTCATGATTGTTGTCTTTGGTTTGGAATTTATTATTCGTATCTGGTCTGCTGGATGCTGTTGTCGATATCGAGGATGGCAAGGAAGGCTGCGCTTTGCAAGGAAACCATTCTGTGTAATAGGTGAGTATCACAACTCTAGTTTAAGACAAAAATATATAATGAAAATAACCCTGCCCCCCTTCTATTTTACTTCTAAATGAAAACCAATAGAATCAGATTATGTTTACAGTAACCAGGTGTAAATCCAGAATAGTTGTCTGTCACCTGTCATCTGACCAAAGTTTCTCTAGATATAAAATCACAATGTTCCTAAGTACTAGTCAGTACATGTTTCTTATGTTCTCCAGAAGCTATTTTCCTATGCATGTCATACAGCCGGCATCATGCATACTGGAAGAATGAAAGGTTAAGAGCTGATCTCACTAAAAAACACAAGAGCTGACATGCATTTAATGATCACACATATGAGACATCTTTTACATGCATGCAAATATACCATGCACATACGTGCATACATTATGTATCCTCTTTATTTAAACTTCTGTGACTACAGATGTATGTGTACACTTCATTAAATTTAAAAACCTTCCTAAAAACATATACCATTTTCTGACAACATCATGGTTCCTCCATTGCCACTTTCTGCAAAGGTTATAACGTATTTCTACAATGATTCTGAGAGTCTCTTCCTCCCCTTCTTTGCTCTAGAAATTCATTCTATAAGTTTCCCAATAGAGGTAGAAATCAAGGATGGCTAATCAAATTAATCTGATAATTGATTTCTTTTCTAATGGTTTGGAGCAAAGTTTTTTACAGAACACCTGTGGAACTTCAGGATCTCAGCCTCCCACCTTGTCTCTCAACCTCTTTCCTCTCTGCAGCCATTAATTTATTTGCTTGTATCTTATATTAATTTATAGATCAACTGGGGCAGGAAACATATTTTCCCGCACATCTATAAAGCAGGTAGCACAACTGAGTCACATATGCAGTTATGCATATAGGTCTCAGTATAAACAGCGAATAACAATAACATCATATAGGTGAATACAGTCCTGATCTACACAGAGTTATTCAGTTTCCAGTGATGTAGCAGACAAGAGTGCTGGTGAGAGCAGGGGTTTAAAACAAGTTTTTGCCTTCTGCCTCATTGCCTAGTAAATCCTTACCTTGTCTTGTTGAGAATATCCTATTGTGGAGCAAGGGACTGTAGCAAGAGGTGCACAAGTAGGTGGAAAGATATCACAGGCTGTCTCAACCCCATCTAACCTATTTTATGAGACTGGGAGAGGAACAAGTATCGGGGCTTGTTCTGTTCAGATAGCAGGGGGGGTGCAAAAGAAGTATCTTACCCAGCTTCATCAGGCACGAGGTTCCACACATTTGCCCTAAGGTTGCCAAGTCCAGCTGAAAGAACACAGTAAAGAAATTCAAAGGTCTTTCCAGCTTTTACTAGGCCACCTGTCAAGGGAAACCTGGAAATTCAGCTATTCATTTTCCATGGCACAAGCAAACCCTCCTTAATCAGACTTAGTTACTTCAGGATTTTGTGATGCACCTCATGCATCGGTCAGTTTTTTTTCAGCACACAATTGCAAGAAAACACCAGAGTGTTAATTTAGTAAAACTAACCTACTTTGGCCATGTAGAAGTTACTAGAAAGGTGTTAATTCCAAGGACAAGTGAATGAAGGGGTTCTTCCTTACTCAAAGATCTGCATGCTTTCATAGAGTGACTAATGCATTTTTTCCCCTTTCCTTTGAACCACTACCATATGAATTTTCACAAAGTCAGCTATTTGTGAAATAGTTCAGGCAGGTCTCCTGGCATAGGCTGCAGTGAATGGTAGGGCTTACTTCACCTGATTTTAGGTTTGCCTCCTTGCTCTGTAGTTTTCTCTTCTTGTTGCACCTCTGTTCATCTAGGTGATCCCTAGCTGTAAAAACATTTTCCATCCAGAAGTTTAGGGCTGGAGTACTTGCCCTGTGAGGAGCGGCTGAGGGACCTGGGTTTGTTCAGCCTAGGAGAAGACATGGCTTCAGGAGAAATGCAGTGAAATCAATGCTGTGCTCTTAAGAGCACATGGCCAGTTTGGACCTATTACTTTTTGTGTATTTGTTTAATTATTTACTTACAGATCTGTTCACTTATTCTTTCTATTTATTGTTACAATGAAAAAATAACATTTTAGAAGAATTAGTCTGTTTGATATTAATTATTTTTGCTATATATCTCCAGGAGATCTGTTCTTTGATTATTTTTGTGATCAAACACAAATCACATAGAGGAATGGTCTAAGAGCTAAAAATAATAAATCTGAGGATTGCCTCAAGGGTCACATTCAGAAAGCCTTTATTTTTTTCCATTAATAACTTCATAACCATAAAAGTAGTATTCAGGGCCAAAGCTCTGTTCTTAACCTTAGTGTGTCTACAGTGTCACTACCCTGACAAATTAGTTCATCAACAATTCTGTATGCTTCAGGGTCAGTGAAGATATGTAGCAAATTATTTGCCAGTTTTGTTCCCTTGTTCCACATTTCTGTAAAAACGGGAATAATGATGCAGTATTAAACCTTGATTTGTATTTTCTTCTGGCAGGAGTTACCTGCCATACCTCATTTTCTCTGATGGTGTATGAGCTTGTATACATAATGTATAAAGCATAAAACACTTTCCCAGGAATACTCACGTACTTAAAGATGTGTTTACTTCTTTAAATCCTAAATTTCCCAGGCATATCAGTCTGAAGCTGTTAGCACTGCAGAGCACTGTTGCTGTGTCATACTGTGCAGAAGCATAATACTCAAGGCACCTCATTTCCCAACTACTGCCTACAGAGTCCCTGGGACTCTGATGCCCAGGAAGAATTCTGCGTATGCCTATGCCTGAGAGGAGCTGTGCTCCCTGAAGATCACCATTATAAAAGATGGGTTACCATTTTTAGGTGTCTTTGTGCACATCATTTGTGAACTCATGGAAGTAAATATTCATTTATTTGTGTTCTAGATAGGTTTTCCTCTCTGGACCCTGGTACCAAGAGGGGGTTTAAGGATAGATTAATATTACTTTAGTTTGTCAGAGGTCTAGGTGGATGTGCTTCAGTGCTTGAGCTGTGGAAAATAAAATCTCCAGCCAGAGTTTACCGTACCTAAGTACCTATCTTGATATTGGTGGGGAAGGAGTTAATCAGTAGATTTGTTTTGGACAATTTCCCGGACTTCTTGTGCTTCTCGTATCAGCTTTCCCTTCTGTCTTGCCCTTCAGTCACCCAGTTCCATTGAAATATCTCACTCATGCTGCTGACGTTATCAGCCGATCAGTTAATATTTTGTATAGCCCTTTGAAAAAAGCTTTTAAATGCCTTTTCTGAGAATGGCCCTTATAGGCACCAATATAGCAATGGTCCCATGGTACATCTGGTAGCAAGCAGCAATCAGGTACCTGGCTCTACTCCGACTGTCCTTCATAGTTTTTGCTGATTTACAAAGTCTGCTGGAGATCAAGCTGTGGTTCAGTAGTCTGTCCTATCTCAGTATTTTGTAGTCATAATGCTTCACGAAAGGGTTTCCCATAGCATAGGAGGTAATCAGAGTTGTTTTTCCAGTCTTTCCAGTCTTTTCCAGTCTTCAGCCTTTGTTTTTCTGCTATTTGTATCTTCTGCACCAAATTCACTTTAATAAGTGAAGTTGTGTACTAAACAAGTACACAAATTTTAATAACTTTAATAACACTTTAATAAGTGAATCACTGTACTAAATGTGTTCCTTGTTTTGCTGGGTTCTGAGAAGCCTGCAGTCCTGTGCATCGACAGCAAACTGCCTTGATTCCCTTTTTAGTTTATAACAGTATTTACTTAGCAAACCCTGTGTTTCTCATTAACTTCTGGCTGTTATGACTTCTATTGCGTGTGGTTTAAGTGGAAGGTAGCTCTTCCTTAACTTACATAGTACTTTATTGTCTTCAGTAGCAATTCAGTTGCTCTTCCACTAATGCTGTCTGTCTGTGTTGAGGAAAAAAAATCTCAAGTCCATCCATTTAGCCGGAAGAACTTGAGCACAGAATTTTAGTGCCTAAATGTTATGCAAATTCTCAATCTAAATTTGGGTTTTGAAACTATAATTTCAGAATCTTCTCAGAATCTTAAATTTAAGACCACATCTAGCAATATAACACTTATTCCAGTGTAAGTAGACTTACTGATGGTCGAGCCTAGTGAAACGTTTCATGGATTTCAGTAACTCCATTAGTAGTTTCCCCACAGCTGCTTCTATTTTACCTCTTGTCAAACTATAGCGTGATGGAAATGTCACAAGTTCAAATTCTGTTGAGGCTGCAGAATGAGCAAATTCCCAACAGGAAGTTTAAGTTCATTATGTGTAATCAGGCTCTTGAACTTCATGGCTGGCAAACTGCATTTCAGAGCATTAAGTGATAGCAGTGGCAGTTGAATATTGCTGAATCTATTTTTCGTTAATTAAAGTGATAATGAGCCATCATACAGTACTTTTGTCAAACCTTTATAAACAAATCCATATCTAGTGTATGAAAAGATCTGTTGAGCCTTTAATTTATTTTAATTCAATATATTTATGTTATGATATGTTGTGTCTGCTACCTTGGTATTTAGACATATAATACAGTTTAAATTCAGCCAGATAGTAAATCTGCTGCTCATGATAAACAATACAAACAGCCCCTTTCCAGAACAATTTGAACTTTAAATAACCCAGTGATGGTCTGTAATTAAGAATATGCTTGACCAAAGAGATACATCTCACATCACATCTTATTATAAATCCCAGAAAGACCAAGTTTCAGCAGGAGCAATGTACCTTGTTGAGGTGCTCTCCCGAGAATGTTCTCCTGCCAGCCCAACTTGAATTCATCTCAGGAACATCCTGTCCACTTCACTCCAGAAAACATGTTGACAGGAATAGTATTTGGACTGGAAATTGAAAGATCCTTGGATGATTTCAGCAACTGTAATTACGTGCAATAAACACTGTAGCTCTTTATGTTAAATTGGTCCCAAGTTGTATAGGTTTTTAAAACTACTATTTGGTGGAATGTCTTCATGTTTGACCATCCTGGCCATACAGTTTTTAGAGATGCATAGGA